GCCCCCCCCCCCCCTCCACACACAGCCTTGCACAGAAAGCTTATTGCCCACAAGCACATGCACGTGGCTCTCTCTCACTCCCTGTGTGGGGTGTGATTGTGTGTGCAGGCATGAGGAATGGCGCGACAAGCTCGGGTGCGACATTTTCTACCTGCAGCTGCCCCTCGGCCAGAGGATATACATCTGTACCGACATCTCCTGCTGGGACACCCTCATCGGACCGTGAGATGCACTGATTGCATGTCATCTGTGCATTCGTCCCTTCCTGGAGTGGATGCCTATCTCGCTTCTTGCAGCGACGGCCTCGACAAGAGCGACAAGTATCACGCGTTCGATCTCTTCAAGGAGAATGCCCTCACCTCCACGTTGAGCATCATCACGCGCAAGGTAACCTGAGCTAGTCCACCGACACAGACAGGCAGACAAGACATGCCAATTCTTCCTTCCTGATCTTGTGCAGACGGCTGGCGAGAATTGGCATGCGATTAGGAAGGCCCTCAGCCCGGCATTCTCGTATGTAGCAAGGGCAGTGGGACAGACAGACAGACAGACAGACAGAGAGGCAGACGGAGAGATGACTCCATGGTCGTCGTTTCGTGTGTGTCCTGTTTGGCTCAGCACCAAGACCCTCGTGAGCAAGACGCCCATCTACCACCGTGTGATCGGCGATTTCTGCAAGGCCATCGATGGCGCGGCCGAGCAGGGCGAGTCCATCAACATGCCCGAGTGGGCCACCCGCTTCACTCTCGACATGATCGGGGAAGTCGCATTCAAGTATGTGCCCACGAGAGCTCATCCGCTCGTTCATTCATTCATTCATTCGTGTCCGGTGTGTGGCCTGTGTGTCTGTGTGTCAGCTATCCGTTGCACGCATTCGACGAGAAGCGCAATGGCGAGGCGTTGGCCGTGCTGGACGCAATCGAAGTCATCTTTTACGAAACCAGATGCACCGTCCTGGTCCCACTCAGGTACACACGCATCCACCCCACATCGCATGGTCAGAGAATCGCCTTCCTTCCTATGTGCTGGCGTACGCCGTGTATGTGCAGGCCTTACATGTTCTGGCTGAGTCATGTGCGCAAGTACTACAAGGCCCTGCGGCTGTTCCGCCACGTGTGCAACAAGATCTACAGGAACTATCTCGACACACCGCCCGACAAACGAGACGTACGTGAGAAGCATGGCCGCTGTGCAGTGGGTGTGTGGGCGTGCGCATGTGTGTGTCTGTCTGTGTGTTTGGGTGGGGTGGTTGGTCTGCAGACCACGTCGGTCATCGCATACATCCACAAGGCTCCCTACCCGTCGTCAGTGACTCAGCCACACACACAGATAGCAATACATACAAACAACCTCATGCGATGCGTTCGTCGTCTGGTGTCTGAATGTGTGTGTGTGTGTGTGTGTGTGTCTGTGTAGTGAGTTCGAGAAGATCTGCGACATCTACAACCTGCTGTGGGCCGGGTGGGTAGATAGATAGATAGACATACACGTACAATAGGCACACGCGTGTGCTCCAGCTGGCGAGGCGAGCGCTGCTGTTCATGATGTATTCATTCATTCCATGTGTCCATTGATGGATGCAGGCACGACACGACGGGCTACACCATCTCTTGGGGCATTTACCACCTCTCCACCAACCCACAAGTCCTCAAGAAAATGCAACAGGTCACTCAGCCTGATGGATGGATGGATGATAGAGCGATCTTCAAGTGTGAAATCGTGTTATGTTTGTCTGGTGTTCAGGAGCTGGATGGTGCCAGCTTCGCGGGTCAGCTGCCCACCTACGAGGAGCTGAGTCAGCTGCCCTACTTCAACGCGTGCATCAAAGAGATCCTCAGACTGTAAGCCAGATGCCGAAACCGACCACACCCACACGCACACACACACCCGTCCGTGTGTGCATTGTGACGTCTGTCTGTCTGTCTGTCTGTCAGCACACCCGTTGCGTCGAATGGGAGCTTCCGCAAGACTGAGGGCGGCATCAAGGTCACCTCCCGCGGCGTGGACTATTGGATTCCTGGCGGATGCGAAATTGGCACGCCCATTCTGGCCGGAATGAGAGACGACAGAATGTGAGGCGCGACACAGACAGAGGCATACACGCGAACACACTACACTCCTGGGTCTCATGTGTCCCTGTCCGTGTCGGGGCGTGTGTGTGTGTGTGGTCAGATGGGGCGACGGCAAGGTGTTTCGCCCAGAGCGTTGGCTGGAGGCGACCGAGGAGGAGCTGAAGCTCTACAACAAGACGTTCCTGCCGTTCAGCATCCCGCCAAGATCATGGTCAGTCAGTCAGTCAGTCACCAGCCCAAGACAGACCATCCACATCTGAATGGAACAAACACTGCCCTGTGTGGGTGTGTTTCTTTCTGTGGCGTCCACCCACCAGCATCGGCTCCAATCTGGCCATGATCGAGGTCAGCCAGTCATTCTGACACATCAGACAGCACATGTATACGGTTGTCACTCACTCAACTGTGTGTGTGTGTGTGTGTGGATTGTCTGTTCGTCTGTCTGGTCAGGTTCGCTTGACGATGGCGGCCCTGTTCAGCCGCTTTGTCTTTGAGGTGACGAAGCCGCCCGAGCCGTATTTCTCGATCACGTAACCTTAAGGGAGGGAGGGAGGGAGGGAGAGAGGCACACAAACGAGCCACGCCAATGCCCACGATGGGTGTGGTGTCTCCTCCCTGCCTCCGTCCATTGCATTCAGGTACAAGCCACGCGGCTTGGAGGTCAGGCCCATCAGACGGACATGAGAGAGATGATATGTCCCCTGCTCAGCCTTCTCCCCAACACATTGCCGTGTTGGACGTACATGGATGTGCACACGTGCACGTGGATCTTTTGTAGGTGCCTGCCACTTTTTTCATTCATCGACATGCATTGTATTGGTGTTGACGCGACGTGACACTGTTCTGCTTGTCCACGTTTATCAGTAGGTAGGTGGGCCACCTGCATGCTTTTTTCCACGTACACCGGACCTGATGCCTGACCTGAGACGAGACAGCTGGTACTGGCCCAGGGATGACGCATAGGCTTTTTTTTCAGATGAGTGCAGACACGCCGGCTTTCAGCAGCTGCATGCACGAAGGCGAATAGATCAATGGACAAGGAAACGAAAACTAAACCATCAGCGCCAAGAGAGAACCGGCCGACTCTGCGAGCTTAGGAAAGGTCAATCTTCCCAAATCATCTTTTTCAAGATCTGCGCATTTGAGAGGCACCAGAGTGGCCACTACACCAGTGCAGACAAAGATCTGACGTCTGCGTGCGTCAGGGCCGGTGCAAAGGCGGCGCAGGACAGGACATCGTGCACTGTTGCTGCGATGAGAGTCTTTCCTGCTGTCGTTGGTTTGGCCCTGCTAGGCCATGGCATCAGCGGCTTCCAGCTGCCCGAGGCGGCCTGGGCCAGCCGCATGAGCCGCATCCATACGCTGCCGGAAGGGAAGACGACACAACATGCACAGAGTGAGTGAGCAAGCATGCAATGCATGACAGGGAAGGAAACAAACAGCGCACAGTTAGTGCTGCAGCGACCCGTCATGGTGCATCTGTGTGCGTGCGCGTGTCTGCGTGCCTGTGTGGGCTGCAGGTGTGGCTGAGCGCCCGACGGTGTATTCGATGAGGACCCACAAGCCCATCGGTGTATTCGATGGCCATCACGTCTATCCGGCCGCTGCTGATGCTGACGGCCACATCGGTGGGTTCGACGTGTCTGTACACGGCGACCGCCACCGCATCCAAGCGGCAGATTGGCATCACATCAAGTTCTTCCCCGGTGCAGCGTTCGAGTAAGATAGACAGACCAGACCAACAGCCACTCATTACGTACTTACATGTGGCTCATACGCCCTTGGTTTCTTTCTTTTGTCAGTGTGTGGGACGCACAAGGCTTCAATCGGCTGCCGTCTGGGGTGCGCTACAAAACAATCCACGAGGGACACGGTGGCAAGCCAACGGACGATGACCAGGTCCTATACAACCATTACGAGTGGGAAACCGGCTTCGATGAGGGCCATCAATCCTACCGCTGGAGTTACATTCGCCACGACCTACGCGACTTCAAAGACTGGATCAAGGATGCCTTCGCGGACATGCGCAGAGGGGAGAGACGTCAATACGTTGTGCCGCCGAGTGCGACCATCACACACACACAGATATTTGCCGACATAGAGTTGCTTGATTACTATTCGCTGTCGTCTATACGCGCCTGTGGCTGCGGGGGCGGCTGTGATGACTGCTGATGGACGACAGATGGTCTTGATGCGTGGGTCTTTCCTTACTGACGCGCTGGTGCGTTGGAGACATGTATGTGATGAGGTGTACTTATCCTTTTTGTGGCGCCCTTTTTCGTGCAGCTTTGTTGTGTTTATTTGCAGCACGACAGTTGTTTGTGTGTGTGTAGGTACGTATGTGTTTTATGTACATGTCAGCCATCGTGGGTAGGTCGGTCAGGACTGACCGATCAGTCCATGTATCATAGCGTCGTCTCTGTTTCGTTCCCCGTCGTCTGCAGTGCAGTACCACAGCTATCGTTCATTGAAAGACTGGCAAATTGAACTAGGACGGCCCCTTTGGGCTCAAGGCTCTGTAATACGTCACGCGCTCACGTCGGTTTCGTGAGCCATTGATGTGTCGGTGAGTTGTCCACGCACACTTGCGATACCAATCAGCTGACACATAAATCTGTCTGTCTCTACTGATCAGCAACGAGTCTATCTACACACTAATCACAAACGCCAGTTGTCACCTTCTATCGGTCTCTCTCTCTATCTCGCCGTCTATCCGTCTCTACAGCTCCACCCTGCGTCTTTTGTGTGGCCTCCCTCCCTCCCCCACCGCATCACACCCGCTGTCCTCCAGGATCGACGCCAGGATGGTGGCCATCAAGCCGTCTGCATGATCGACAAGCATGCCCAGAGGGCCGAGGCGACCCACAGTCCGAATGAAGGGGACAACATCACTGCGGTGGGCGTTGAAGACGTCCTCAGTGACCGCCGCCCTGCAGATTTGGGCAAATGAGAAGTCGTGCAGGGGCATGCTAGGCTCTCTCCCGGCTAGCCATGACGTCAGCACACGCAGAGGAGACACACCCGGCGCCTTGACGCGGGCCAGATAGGCAGCCATACAAGCAGACACCTGCGCGAATGACCAGGGAAGTGGCATTTCTGTCTTGTGAGGCCACTTGTCGATACTACAGCTACCTGGTCCGTAATGGCGCTGCCCATGGCCTGAATGTCATCCCAGTGTCCCTCCATGATCATCAGCCGCAGGCAGTACAGCACGAGGCACCTGAACACCACCACATCACACCACACCATCCATCCATCCATTCATCCATGGAGTGTCCTACAGCCACGCACCTCATGGGAAGCTGGCGGATCGTCACTGTGGCCTGGATGTCCTTGGTTTTCGTCTCCCTGTCACTGAATGCATCGTGGTGTTTGAATGGAAATACATGAGTGACGCCCATACGCTCTCCGCTGCCCAGCACCCCGAGGCTGAACATGTGCATAGATGCGTCTGTCTCAGGGTCGACGTGGTCCATTGCAATGTTATTGTCCTCCTCATTGATCGTCTTGTCGTCACCACAGTCGATGGAGTAGCTCGTGCGGAACGAGTAGCAGAATAGGGCCTCATTGTGGCGCTTCGACGGAAGAGTAGACACCTCTATGCGGCGGACCTTCCTCAGGAGCTTGCCATCGCTGGGTTCGTCGTCGTCGGCGTCCTCTGGGTCTTCGGTTATCCGGTGCCTGCCCAACCCCTTGCATGAGTCCGGAGACGACTGCAGTCCCACGGTGAAGCCTTTCGCGGTGGTTGTCGAGCGGCCGGGGTTGGCCACTCGAATCTCACAGTCGAAGGCCATCTTCTCCGTCTCGAATGTCGCAGCTGCCTGTTGCAGACACCCTCATGTGTTCGTCTGGCCACACATCCCACCCCAACCAAGTGTGTGTACCGCTTCGTTGAAGTTGGTGCTGGCCGTGGCCTCAGTGAGGAAGCGCTTGAGGGTATCGAGCTTGACCACACACGTGCCGTCCTCGATCAGACTATTCAGGCGCTGCAGCACGTCGACAACGAAGCCCCTCATACTGCCATCATTGCCCTCCTCGCCAGATGCCGTTGCCGTCCACTGCGCGGCCACCCGGCTGCCACTCTCCACCAAGTAGGGCGCACACGCTTGCGTCAGCTCAGGGCTGCTGCTAAGCAGATCCCTGTTGAATCAATCAATCGAGGGACGACACACGCGGCAAGTGACATGCACATGCATTGCAGGGATCAGTCAAAAAGGTTCGTTCCTTACCGAATGAGGGGTCTCTTGAAGGCCATGTCCAGTATCCTGCGACAGAGGCGCCCTTCTTCCTGCCACCGGTTCCGCAGGATCTGACACATTGCAGAAGACACAACACACGACACCGACTGCTACGTCTGCCTGCCCTCCCTCCCTCCCTCTCTCCTTCCGTGTGTGTCCACTCACCTTCTTGCTGATTCCGTCCAGCAGCTTGGGCTTGTCTTTCGGGTCCAGGAAATCGAGGGCTGCCAAACACTCCAACATAGTCTACGCACACCACACAGATGAATGAATGAATGGCATCCTTCTATCTATTGCTTGAAGCGCGTACCTCTCGCGTGACACTTCTCAGCATGTCATTCCTCGTCTGCAGCACGACGGCAGCGATTGGCCTAGAGATTTCCTTGAGCGTCACTGTCCGCTCAGCCGACTCCTGGAAACCGCCGTCCACCAACTGGAGCACAACACACACACGAAGGCAGTCAGATCTTGCACCCAGCAGCACATGCAGTGCCATGATCGGTTCCTTACGGCTTGGAAGAAGGTGTACTGCTGCGCCACGGCCTCTGATATGGTCAGAGTGTCCTCAGAGCCCTCGAACTTGACCGAGATGGGCTGACTCGCAGACATGACGCCGACAGAGATGCTGCGACACCTGACTCTAACTACGCGCCAGCAGGCCTCCACTGCCCTTCAAAGGCTCAAACAGAAGCGAAATTACCGCCAGGGTGTAGGGCTGGTCGAGTAACGCTTGAGGGGAGAAGGGAGGAGAAAAATGGTGATGCGGGCTCCCACCATGACTGGGCTCGAACAGGAGCATTCGGAGGTCAGCAATCATGGAATTGATCCATCGGCAGCCTCACCGGAAGGCAGGCCACGCTTGTTTTCTCTTCTCATGCAGATCAGCTGTCTGATGTACCGCCTGTCCGCACTGGACCCATCAGCACTCTCATCGCAGGTACGCACCTCCAGAGGCAGGCAGCACTCACGAAGCGACATCGGCAGAACAAGGGCAGACGCACATGCCCCTGCTGCGTGTTTGTCACGCATGCAGGATTGTTCGCTTCACATGATAGCCGCATTGCAGCAGTATGCCAAGCTGAAGGCCACGCTGAAGGCGCTTGTCAAGTCGGCCACCTTCCCTCAGCCGCGCACTGACGCATCGGTCAGCCAACCGTCACACGATACACGGGAGTGATTCGCCAATCGTGTGTCACCAACCGCGTGTCTGTTGTGTGTTCGTTTGCCTTGGTCAGGCCAAGTTGGAGGACCTCCCGGCCGACGCCGTGGCTCGTTTGCAGACATCCACAGACCTGCCGGGCGTGGGCCGCCTCAGGACGACCGCGCGACTGATCAAGAGCCACATCCGAGATGCCCTCCGCAGCCGACTGACCGACGCCATTGACAAGGCGGGTCTGACGGGTGTGGTGCGGCTCGCTCCCCAGCTGGGTGACGGCGGTGTGGTGGAGGCCCTGTGGCTGATGGAGGAGGGCGGCCGCTGGGGCGAGGTGGGAAAAGGGCTGTGACTGGCGGCACAGTATGGGTACTGTCAGCTGCCCATCCCCATCGACGCCGGAGACCTGCAGAAGCACGACACAAAGATGGTGAGCATCTCACACAAGAGGGGGAGAATAGGGTGCATCATCTGCCATGCGTCTGCATCTGTGTGTGTGTCAGGCCTACTTGTCGATGCCCCGTGTGGCAGCCCAGTGGTTGATTGTCGGTCGGCACGTGGTCTTTTGCCGCGCTGATGGCCAGCAGGACGGCACCTTCGAGCTGTTCCACGATCCCGCCAGCAATGAGATCCGCGCCATCCGCGACGAGCACGAGTTCGCCCTCACCCTCAACCCACCCCTCCCCACCGATCACGTGCATCCCTTCCAGCAGCACCCGTTCCAACAGCACATGAAGCACGACGACCCGCCCGTCCGATCGACCATCGCGTATGACGCCGAGGAGGACGGAGAGTGGGTGGCAGGCGGGGGTGAATTCACCTCCGCATCGCTGAGCGCCTTCATCGTGGCCATGATTACCCGCCACTACACGAGCGGTGGCGTCGATATCCACGCCACGGAGATCAACATCGATCGGTACGTCGTGTGGGGGAACGGGACGTAGCGTCATACATGGGAGAAGCAGAGTGTTCTCCGTCCTTGTTTCCATGTATGTGTGCGTGTGTGTATGCAGTGGGGCGAGGGGCGGTTATTTGGACGGCCTGCTGACGCGGTCGCCCCGCACATCTCTGGAGGGATGTACAGCCGTCATGACGGAGGAGGGGCCCGGTGGGATTGCGTGTCAGGTCCACCTGCTGACGGCCTTCGACGACCCGTTCATCGCATCGATCTGCCTCATCATCGGTCCTGACGACCGTCAGACCGGTGAGCGGAGGGAGGGCAAGGGCAAAGCCAACGGCGTCTCGTGCAAGCAGGCCCTTCTGTCCGTGTGCTGCGGCAGTGAATGTCAGTCTGGGGACTACGGAGCAGCCGGTGGGCAACCCAGGCGACCCCTTCCCGGTCAGGTACCGGCGCTCGGCATGGCTGGCCCGGCGGTCATTTGGCCCCTTCGCACTCATCCTTCTCGACGGACAGACGCCATAGATGTGAGTGATGATATCACACGATGGGGGGACCCTGATAGGGATGATACGCCACGCTGGCAGAGGGCTTTCTGTCTTCCGTCTGCATGTGTTTAGGTTGGCTGGCTGGCTGGCTGGCACGTGCTGGGCAAGACCACCAGTACAGTAGATGAGATGAATCAATCAATGGGGCAGTCAGTGGCTGGGCACGTTAGTTAATGTGCTGTCTGTCTGACTGACTGACTGACTGCAGGCAGGCAGGCAGGCAGGCAGGCACCTAGGCACACAGACACACAGACACAGACACACAGACACACAGACAGATGGCTTTATGTTATGTTGTCTATCAATCACTTAATGTCCATCGGACTGCGGACGTTGTTGGTGCATACAGATGGACGTTAGTGCATGTCAAGTGCATACGATGTCCAATTCCGTACGGAGCGTTCGTGCTTTCCTTCCGCAGCAGCGGTTTCAGGGAGCACCCTAGGCGACCAACTCATCACAAGCTCCAACATATTGGAGATCTGTATATAAATGATACCGTCCATTAGGCAGCGCTGGCACTCCACGGAGAGGGCTGCGTCACCAGCTTCTGCCATGCAGCCGCCGAGGAGGCGCTGGCGGACCGATCCCTTTGCTGACGCCTGCCCTCCTCCTCTCCGGCTGCTCCCATCTCTGCTGCTCACCCTCTCCGCAGCCGCCGCCTTCAAGGCCCCCCTGCACCAGCCATCCCGACTTATCCATCACAGATCGAACTTCAAGACGGCGGTCTCCCTCCTCTCTATGGTCCGCGAACTCGCTGTCTGTCCTCGTTCCCTTGAAACGGCAGGCAAGACCGCATCGGCTCGCTGCTGCGTCGTGTCTGGAAGCAGCCCAGCTGCGCTCGCTCTGGACTTCGTGGCATGGCCGACACTCACAGCACATCGATCAGCGCTATGGAGGTCCCTCCCCGACCAATCTCTCATGATCTCTCACAGCTGCACCAGCTTTATGGGGCGTCGGCATTCGGCACAGCCCTCGCCAAGTGGGCGGATGAGATACCACAGCATCCCGCCATCACATGGCTCGACGGCAATGGGGAGCCGGCCGAGGTGTTCACATACAGGGAGCTCTTCAGGAAGGTGCAGCGGCTCGGCGCCTATCTCACCGAGG